AGGGCTTTCTTAGAGCCTGCTGAAAGGCCTCACAAGAGGACTCTCTCCCTCCATTGCTCACTTTTTCAAAGCCTCACTTTCTACATCACTTCCTAACATACACCAACACCCTCTTCATTATCAACATCAGAAGACTTTGCTGTATGAGAATCCTTTGACTTTTCTGACATTAAATGGCATACTAATATAAATGATTATATTTACTACTATTACAATCAATTCAGGTCAAGGTTTTAAGTTGCAAAACACCAGTCTGTATTAGAGATTCTTTTCATAAAAAAATGTCAATTAAATCTTTAATGAGGCTGCATCATGGTTTTGTTACACCCTTCGATAGCATTATTTAAAAAAAATCAAGGCATCCACTGTATGACCAATTCTGTACATGGCTCTGTTTTGCTCTCCATAAGAGGACCCCAGGTTGCTTAGGACTTTAAGCTATAAGAAGATGACATTTGTATCACTCTTCTTTTTTTTTTTTTTTTTTGGATGGCCTGTACTTCTTTTTTTTCCTCTTTGTATTATTATGTTCACTTTCCCTGTGTAAGCTCATTCACAAAATAATTTTGGAAGTATGTCAATAAATGCTTTTGGTATTTGTTCTAAAATTCAGAAAAAAGAACAAATCATAGCCCAGATTGCTTCTGCCATACTGGTAGAAGTTATGAGATTTATTCTCTGGAAAAGATGAGCCTCAGGAAACATGAGGAAGAAGAAATATTGAGCAAACAAGGGGAATGAGAGAAAGTCTGCTTATTCCTCCAGCCCCCTTCTACATTTGACTCATTTTACCCTTTGAGCTTCTTGTCTGAGGAATCTGAACCATTCGCAAGTCAAAACTGAAAGACGCTGGCAGTCATGAGTCCCCCAAGAAAATGTCCTGGATGACGAAATCAATCAGTCCATGCACACACAGCTACTCATGCACTCATGCACACACAGCTTCTAGCCAGGATCTGTTTTGGGGGGTTTTGTGTGTGTTTCAGTGTCTGCACTTTAAATGTGAACTGACAGCCAAAGGTCACTAGTTATTTAAGGAAATCCTCTAGGATAAAGGATAGAGACCAAAATAAACCAAAAGATAAGAGGTTGTTGGCAAAAAAAGAGACAAGGTGAAGAGATATTTAAAAAAATATCACTAATATTCTGAGAGATACAACATGACAAATAATCAATAATACAAAAATAGCCTGCTACACAAAGAGGCATTTTCAGAGAACAGAGGTTTAAAAGATAAATCACTCAGAAAGTAGATGAAAAATAAGGAAGGAAAATGGGATAGAAAAGATTAGAAAATTAATAACTCAGTCCAGGAGGGCCAATCTTTAAAAAGTTTGAGTTTCAAAGACAAAAGAATGAACAAACAAACAAATACAATAGGAGGGACTGTATAGAAAGAACAACAATAAAGAAGGAAAAAGAAGGGGATGTAGAACTTTTTTCAATTTCCAAGTATCTAGAATTGCAAGATATGAATTTCCAGACTGAAAAGGCCTACAAATTTCCCAATAAAATGGATAAATAAGACTAGTCCCAGTACAAGTCATCACCAGATTAGAGACTACTGAAGACTCCCAGAAGGTTAAAAAATTCCCCCCAAAGAAAGAGAAAAATAACACCAGCTAGCATGTAAAGGGTAAGAAATCAGAAAGAAAACAATGTCTCACTGTGTGGAAGTCAGAAGACAGTGGGATGTCCTTAGAGCCAGGGATAAAAATTGTGTTTAACCTAGAATGCTACACAAACAAGGATAAAGGTATTTCCAGATGTGAGGACTTAGAGATTTTACCTCCTAAATACTCTTCTTTTTAAAAAAGATTTATTTATTTTAAAGAAACAGAGAGAGAAAGAGCAAGCACGAGAGACTGCCTGATGCAAGCACGGGGGGGGGGGGGGCGGGCAGAAGGAGAGACGGAGAATCTCCAGCAGAGCCCCCCTAAGCACGGAGCCTGCCATGGGGTTTGATCTCCTGACCCTGAGATCATGACCTGAGCCAAAACCAACAGTCCGATGCTCAACCCATTGAGCCACCCAAGAGCTCCCCTCTTAAATATTCTTTAGAGGAGGCAGCTACTGAAATCAGTGCAGTGATAAGATAAAAAGTAAACTGGGGCACCTGGGTGGCTCAGTGGGTTAAGCCTCTGCCTTCAGCTCAGGTCATGGTCTCAGGGTCCTGGGATCGAGCCCCACATCGGGCTCTCTGCTCAGCAGGGAGCCTGCTTCCCCCTCTCTCTCTGCCTGTCTCTCTGCCTACTTGTGATCTCTGTCAAATAAATCAATAAAAATCTTTAAAAAAAATGAAAAGTAAACTGAGGAAACTAATTTAGAATCTAGAAATTAGAGGATCAAGAAAAAGAAAAGAACTGAAGCGAATTCCCAGGACAATGGTGAAAAAGGACAGCCAGAGAGTGAGGGCTTGAGACTGAAATCACAGAGAAGCTCCAGGCAAAAGGTGGCCAAGAACAAAGTCTTGACAACATACAGACTATCTTATCAATATCAAAGGTGAAAAAGAGGAAAGTAGGAACCAGCAAAAAGTGTATAGAAAATTAAGGAAGCAAGGAAACAAATAAAAATAATGGTCAATCCCAGGTTGGGGGGGATTTTACATGGAAGGCCTACTAAGGAAGTGTTTACTAAGTTATGATAACTGATATCAATCCAGTCAAAATTCATAAGAACAAAATATTAGTGTGACATTAGGGAAAGAATGTGTCTCCACCAGAGAAAAAGAAATGAATGGAGAGAGAGAGTGGTTGGTCAAAGAAAACAAATCATTTCCATCATGGAAAATCAGTAGATACTCTTCAGTAAGCATCTACTAAGTACCCAGTAAGATACCCCTTTTATGCAAAGAAGTGGAAGTGATTCTAAAAATTAAGATCTAAAAATATTGACTGTAGTTGGTTTGGAGAAGGAGAAATGGGGAAGGAAGTTATAAGTGTACTTCTCTCTAAAATTTCTGAAAGTATTAGAATTTATCTCTGAGCTATATAACTTTAACATAAATATAAAATAAAATAAAAATCAGTAGTGCTTTTGCTTTTGGCCTGTTATATAAACTCATAGAACAATCTGGTTTCAATCTTGGAAAATGAAAAGCTGTTACTAGTGGCTCTGGCTTATTGTCTCTCTCTCTCTCTCTTTTTTTTTTTTTTTATAGAGAGAGAGAGTATGTGCAAGCTAGTGGGAGGTGGGTGGGGTAGAGGGAGAGAGAATCTTAAGCAGGCTCCATGCTCAGTGTAGAGCCTGACGAGGGGCTCAAACTCATGACCTTGTGATCATGGCCTGAGCCAGAATCAAGAGCTCAATGTCAACTAACTGAGTCCCCGGGCACCACCACCCTCCACCCCAGCCTGTTCTCTTTGGGCCTTGGGATGGGGGAAGTGGTAAAGAATGTTTGGAAGACCAATCACTTTCTATTTTTCACAAGAAAACAGCCATACAGATAAATTGGTTAAGTACCTTCTGTTGAAAGTTTTCAAAGCATTTCTGAAATTTCACTGTCTCTTTCAAAGTCCAAAGTCAGACTGAATGTATGCTGACAACCTGAGACACATGAGCACTTTCCAGTTCATTTATCAAAGCTGTTCTAGACATCAAAATTATAGTCTACTCTCCAGTCTAAAATATCATTGTTAGCCTCTACAGAGTAAATAAGAGAGACAGACACACACACACATAGAAAGAGAAAAGAAAAAGAGAAAAGAAAACATTAGTTATGCAATAGTAGTTTGCTTACAATACCACCAGTGCTTAGGAAATAAGTTAACAGAATATTTTTCCTTGCACTAATTCAAACACCTGATCATCTTCACACTAACGACAAAAGCTTATTTAGCCTATCATAAATACCATTCACCTTTTCCTAAGAGTCAATTAGGTTTAACATTTCTTTTGAATTCTAAGGCAGTTTAATCATTCTTTTTATTTTTGGGTGTTGTGATTTTTTTACCTACAAAAAGGGAGGAGGAGATGTTTAGTTACTTGATTCTATTTTGTATCTTCTCCTAACTCCCCACTGCTTTGAAGACTTCCTGTTTGTCATACATTCCAATCTCCCTAAGGAAAAGTAGGAGAGCCTGCTCCCCATGCTTAAACTACAGCTATAGCTGGATTGTGTTTAGGATTTAAGATGGCACATAAGAACACAGAAGGCTATTTTAACTTTTTTTTTTTTTTTTTTTTTTTTTTGGACAGAAAGAGATCACAAGTAAGCAGAGAGGCAGGCGGGGTGGGGAGACAAGCTCCTCGCTGAGCAGAAAGCCCGATGCAGGGCTCAATTCCAGGACCCTGGGATCATGACCCGAGCTGAAGGCAGATGTTTTAACCCACTGAGCCACCCAGGTGCCCCCAGAAGGCTATTTTAAAGTAGACTGATGGATTTTTTTGATCCAGGAAGATAATTCGAAACTACATAAACGAATCTCCTCATTTTACGTATCAGGAATCTTAAGGAATAGAGAAGCTAGCAGGTGTCTTGCCAATAAGCTGGCCAAATTTCACACTCGGAGCAACTGGGCTGGATCAAGGTCTTCACTCATTTCAAGGTCTTCGATGACACTTAAAGAAAATCTTTCTAAATGAGACAATGGTCAAGCAAACATGGTAACCTGCCAAGTCATGGTGAGAGCAAATTCATCTAAGTTTGAGAGTTCTAAGATCTAAGAACCTTGGGACCTCTTGAATGCATGCTTTCTCAGAGTTTTGGTGAGTACCCATGACGGCAACTCCTGTTGCTTTGCAAATGTGTTGCATTCTTCTTTTTTTTTTTTTTTTAAGATTTTATTTATTTGACAGAGAGAGATCACAAATAGAGAGTGAGAGAGAGAGAGAGGAGGAGGAAGCAGTCTCCCTGCCTAGCAGAGAGCCTGATGTGGGACTTGATCCCAGGACCCTGAGATCATGACCCGAGCTGAAGGCAGAGGCTTAACCCACTGAGCCACCCAGGCAGCCCCGTGTTGCATTCTTCTTAATTCTCGAGAAGAAACGGATCCTACCTGTAGTTCCGGATGTAAAAATATAAAGATGAGGAGACTTGAGACTTGAAGCCACATGGTAGCTGCGGGGCACGGGCCTGTCAGATGCCGTGCTTAGTTTTTCTTTGAGTGAAGTTACGCCCTGTGGAATAGAATCGCTCATTCCCCAAACGGTGATACCTTCTGGGAGGCTTGGAAGGATTTCTTCTACAGTTTCAAGCAGATCTAAAAACCAGAGGTTAAGGAAGAGAGAAATAAAACATAAATCTCAAATCATTAACTTGTGTTTTCTTTTCTCTGCTGGAACATGGATAAATGTCACTATCATGCTGACTTCATCTTCATTGGGATAATTAATATCATAGCCATTTTATGATTCTGATTCAACAGGACCAACTGAAAGGGAAATCTGGTTACCACCTGATATAATAAATGCAAATAGGCTGCTTCAAATAAAATTCTGGAGACACCATTGTTCAGATTATGATTTTTTTCTAATTTTTAAATGAAACTCTATTTTTATATTCTGCTTTAAATCTACACTCAGGATACCACACTAAACATTTTCATTGAAATAGATCTCGGTAGCTCATTATTCTCCAAAGCTATCTATCAGTGTATCACTGATTAATTCTACCATAACGCAATACATTCAGGAAACTCTGCTGACCCCTCTGGAGTCCTCAGATCATTATGGTTTAGACACTGTTTCAGAGCCAAAAGTTAAGTGAGGAAATTTAAAGATGCCCTTTTCTCTAGATCAGGTTATCCAAAGGTGAAAGTCTTTGAAAGCAAAAGGATGAAATGAATGCCTTCTATAACAGGCAACAAGGTCCCCAGGGCCTGGCAAGGTGGGAGCAGATTGAAGACAGCACAACCTCCATCCGCAGCAGTGTAAGATCCAAGAGCCACCTAGAGACAACAGCAAGCAAAAAGGAAAGCAAGAAGTAGAAAAGCCTGAAATGCAGGTGTCTTCAGGCTTGAAGAACTTGAGAATCTCACCTCACAAGACCAAAGGTCTGGGCTGCAATTCGGATTTCAGAAAGGAAAAAAAGGATACATCTCCCAGGAAGTCTCTACTGTACAGAAAACAAAAGAGTACCTGGAAAGGAGAGGCTATGTTGCATTAATTTGGGAGACTGAACGCAAACTTTTTCATTTGGCCATTAATGTAGAAGAAAACCTTATTTGCTCAGGAGGAGCTGGTAGAGAATAAGAGAGGCAGAAGGTGGGTGTGAGTCCCTGAGGAGGAAATATTTATTAAGGTATCCAGCACTCTGTAGGATATAAAAGAAGCAGAGCCTCACCATTCCCAGAGTCTTTTGTGTAAGCCAGTGAGGCCTCATAGTTTTTGCTAGAGTAGAGACACAGTTATTCACAGTCTCAAAATACCTTTAAAATTTAACATTCCCCTATTTTAATACGGATCTCTAATACAGAAGTTTGACTTTTATATTCCACAAAGGTGCTCCAGTTTCAGTGTGGTATGCCTATAAAATGTCGTATCTATCTAAGTTATAAGGGATTTCTGAGCACTACATTACTTATCTTAAAATCCACCTTAACATCCTTAGAAATACTAAGTGGTAATACCCACTGGATTTTGGAGTTAATGCAAGGAATGCCAGAGATTACCAGCAACTGCCAAAAGTTAGGAAGAGGCAAAGGAAAATTTTTTCCTAAATCCTTTAGAGGGAGTGTGGCCCAAAGGACACTTTTATTTTGGACGTCTAGCCCCCAGAATGGTGAGGGGATAAATTTCTTTTGTTTTACACAACCCAGTTTGCAGGAGTTTATTATAGCAGCCCTGGAAAATTAATATACCACATCATAAGTTGGTGGATAGAGCTGTTATTATAACCTGTGGTTAATTATCCCTAAAATCTATACATTACCTCATAAATCAATTATGAAAAATGTTATTAAATGTAAAATATACCCTGGTTAAAAGCTCAAGTACACATAAATATGAACCTTTCCATCCAAGCAATTATATTTTTTTCTAAATTTTTATCCAAACTTCAAGAATACTTACAAGATATATTCTGCTTTGAAGCTGAACTCGGTGTCCTGCATTAATTTTTCTGGAAAGGGAAATCAGTATCTGGCAACCTCAAAAAGCCATTTGTCAGCCACTATTTAGTTCTACTATAATATAACACATTTGAGAAGGACTCATGACTTAGTTCCTCAAAATCTATAATCCAGACTGATCACGAAGAAACAACAAGAGAAACGTGTCAAATTAGACCAAGTAGTTCCCAAATAAAACAACCAAGGAAACACAGAAAATGATAAGGAGTTCATATGCGGGGGGTAGGGAGGCAGACTGGGACTTGAACTTCTTTGAATTAATTTTTATTTCTGTCACAAATCCACATAAAATAAACTTTAAGAGTCCAGAGTTCCACTGAGTATATACAGCGTGCTGCTAGCTATAGATTGCTTTGGTAAGAAGTGGAAAATCACAAGGAATGGTGGGGGAAGAATAAGCCACAAATGAAAAAATAGAACAAACAAATGATCGAGACTTTCTGTTTTCTTTTGTGTTGTCGTTGTTTTTGACGGGGTGGCTGGGGCGGGGAGGGGCAGAAGTAGAAGGAGAGAGAGAATCTTAAGCAGGCTCCTCACCCAGCTCAGAGCCCAAACCAGGGCCCAACCTCACAACTCTGAGATCAAGGACATGAGCCTAAATCACAAGTCAGATGCTTAACCCATTGAGCCAACCAGGCACCCCTAAACTTGTTTTAATGACTCTTTCTGGCAATTTGAATGTATAAGTACAAGTCTCTGAACTGACTCATTTCATTATCTTCATTTCAAATTTCTTGTCTGGAATTGTAAATTAACAGCAAAAACTTAAAATGTTTGTAATGATATGTAAGTCTAAATAGTTAAAAAAAAAAAGTGCAGAGAAAGTTATAATGTGATTAATTGTGGCTCCAAATCTTTTTTTGGAATTGTAGAGTTTATAAAGAAACAACTCAATTTTTACAATGAGTGACAAGTTTTAGAAGAAAAAGGAAGTGAGCAGATTCCTAAGAATTAGAGGAAATACAATTTAGTTCCCTTCATAGGTTAAAATTTAATTGACTTGACTCAGCTGAGACATTCAGAATTCTACAGAATTTCATTAAATTATTTCTTCAGTAGTCCTAGGTAATGTGGTCGAGGATAATGAAAACTGAAATAAAAACTTGGAAAGTCTTGTAGAGGATAAAAAAAAATGAAGATTTATTTATCACTGTCAATCTTCCTTAAAAAACGAAAAGGTTCAGTGCCATTTTGAAAGTAAATTCTGAATAGTAAGTCCTGACACAAAATAGCACACTTTTCAATACCTAGAGGACACTTGGCTGTGGTTTCAGGAAGATTTACTCTTCAGTGAAGGGTACTACATCAAAACTTGTCAAACTGTGAGCACCTCAAATAAATGTTGTGTGTTCTAACCCACACCTCTGCTCAGGGCACCTGGCGCCCACAGGCAGCGGGTGCAGGATAGAGATCTGGTTATGGAATTGAGCTCTGCCCATGAGATCCCCTGGCAGGTCATGACAGAAAACTGTTGTAAGAAAATGAGACACCTGAATATTCTATGATCCTGAACAAAGTCTACCTCAAAGGACAAGGCTGTAATGTAGAAGGCTTTCACCACAATAGGGTCCTTTTAAGAAACACTTTTTTATTTCTCATATACACAAGGCACTTCATTAGGTAGCACTGCAAGCATTAGCATCAAAACAAGTAAATTAGAGGGCTGCCCGAGTGGCTCAATCAGGTAAGCATCTGAATTCAGCTCAGGTCATCATCTCGGGGGCCTGGGATGGAGTCCCAGATTGGCTCCCCACAGTGCTGGGTGTCTGCTTCTCCCTCTCCCACTCCCTCTGCCCATACCCCACTTTCTCTCTCTCAAATAAATAAATAAATTCTTTTTTAAAAAAAGGTAACTTACGAACTCCACCTATTATCCTCCAGCACTTTTTGTACCAATTAATTTGTTTCTACATCATCTTATCTCTTATTCACATTACTGAAAACGCAATGAGTAAAATCTAACATATCTTTCTACTATGCCATTTAGTATGAATCATGTTATTCAGCCTACATTAAAAACTTTTTAAAGTTATCTTATTTTACAATGTTTTCAAAGGAATTGCTTGTAGCTCTTAATACATTGGCAAACACTGAAACTTTTAGGCGTGAAGACAACTTACATGGAATTCAGGGACAAATGGTTACCTTGAACTTTCCACATTCCAAAGCAACAATCACACAGAATCCAAAATGAAACTGCAGATCTCATTTCATGCTTATAAATATCATCCTACCACTTAGAGAAGCTCAGCAAGTTTGACATAGAAAGCATGGGCAAGCTCTGGTTTCTAACAAAACTGATGCTTAAGTAAGCAACGTCCTAAGGCAATTCATAACAGGTTAGAAACACACCTCACCATGAAAAATGTGCCAGCTATTCTGACAAATATTAGTTTAATAATAATCATTATAACCCTAGGAAGTCCACAGAAGCACAAGTCTTTCAATTGTGGTAACATATTCTTCCCTGAAATGATTTTATTAGCTGCCCTGAATATATGTACATAAGTTTGTAAGTGGGCTTATGTGTTTTCACTCTCAGCTGTTTCGAGGGACAGAGAGCATATTTATTATAGGTTAAATTGTGCAAGAAAGTAAAAAGCAGAACACTTCATTTGATTTTATTTCTAGCACATCTCTCACTGCCAGTGAATAATTATTATCCAAATGGGAACACACCGCCATGATGTATTTGGCTTGTTATTTTTCAATGGCAAAATAGTAAAAACCAGTAAATGCACAGAAAGGCTCTCCAGACACAGACTAATCAGCAAGTAAACTATAAATTGGGAAAAGGCAATTCCAAGGTAGTATGTCTACAAGATTCATACACCATCAGAGTTATTTTCCACATTCCTTTTTGGTTATAAATGGAAGAATTCTCCTTTTCTTGGCCAGAGAAGAGCTAACCATCTGGCTCCTAACTTGTCTGACACCATTCCAGCCCTAGCTGCTGAGGGTTGGGAAGAAGATATGGCCGCAATGCTACGGGGGACGACAGAACAGCTGCTTAAAACGAGTCTGCCTGGGTCACATGCCATGTGCCTGGATCTGCCTCCCAAAGGCCTTCTGCCGACAGCAAAGGTAGACATTCTTACTCTGCATATATGTCTCTGCTTCCATGTAATTAA